TGTGATTTCCTAACAGTATTTATTTGAGGAGATTTACCTCTCTCTCTCTCTCTCTCTCTCTCTCTATATATATATATATATATACATATATATATACATATATATATATTTGTGATTTTTAATTGATTTTTACTGAGCTCTACATTTTTCTCTGCTCTCCTCTCTGCCTCTCCCCTTCCCTCTTCAACTTTTTTCCAAGGTCCCCATTCCCAGATTTACCTCTTTTTGTGTATGTGTGTTGTACATTCCAGCATGCGAATGAAGGCACTGAGAAAGAACTTCAGGGCCTCTCAAATTATATGAACGGAGCATCAGGATGCCTTGAATATGCTTTCTCTGTTTACTGATTTAACTACTTGTACTTTCCTGTTTGCATTTCCTATATAATTTTATGCCAGAGAACCCACTGCACTCCAAGTCCTACAGTCCAAAATAGGATTGGAAAATAACAATTCAAGACACGCATCATGGAGGTATAGTTTCCGTGTATACTAATCTCAACAGAAACTTAGTTTTTGTACAGTGAAACGATTAATTTCTAGGAAAATAATAAAATAAATCTTCAAAGAAACATAATCAATAGAGATTATGTAAGCTAATGAATGGGTCACACAGGGAGAAGGTTGTACTGGGAAACTTGCCCATTTGCTTGATTTTGAAACTCTGCACATTTGGAAAAAAAAAAAAAAACAGTGTTGAGCTTTGGTTTGCCAAGCTCCTTTATCTTTTAACTAATACTAAATAATGGGTTTCACTTTTTTCCTGCTCTCCCATTTTACTTCCTGTGTTTGCAAATGTGAATAGGATCAACGAAACATTCTGTCTTGGCAGCTGTTTTCATCCATCTTGCAGTCATTGGGAAAACAGAAGTAGCTTGCATTTGTCTTGCGGCAATAAAATTACATAATAAACACTGCCCAGGAGCCACTGGAAGTGGTTATATAAAGCACGTAGTGTGTGGCACCAGTCTAGAGTTTCTTAATCAGGACTTCTAGAGAGAAGCATGTGAATTTCACTCGCTTGGCAGAGCTTGTGAAGTGCGCAGCAGTTCTGATCTGAAGAAATGGATATAGGGTTGTGAAGCATAGGAAAACATTCCCTCTCTATGCTCTTTCCTGTTTGCTTCACTCTAACTTGCGAGAAAAGATTCTCTCTAAAAATTTATGACAGCCTGTTCTTTCCTGCATGAATAGAGAACAGGGCAGAGGACAGTCAGTGACTAATAAATAAGCTTTGTTGCAAAATTGCCTTAATCTTTTGTGGGGATAGTGTGAATTTCACAGAGACATTCCTTCTTAATAAGTAAGCTTTCAGGTCGAAGTAGAAACTTGAAGTAGCCTACGCGAGTTTGAACAATGCTATTTGACTGTTATATCAAACTCTAAACAGGCACTGACTATTGATAAAGAAATGACATTCATAAATGTAATTATAGGTTCTCAGGAAAGTTCCGTAAAGTACCAAAGATTTCATACTGACTCTAGCTTGGAACGTTTATTGTGATTTCATTTATTGAATTCATATATAATTTTATGTGCCCTAATGAAACGGTTAAGAGAGGTTATTCACTGTAAAATGAATGTGATAATTTTTTTCCATGATAGCCTGGGATGATTTATGATATGAGCAAAATGGCAATAAGATTTGAGAATTACATATCATTCTGGGGCTGGAAGATATCTCAGTAATTAAGAGAGAGCTAGCTGTTCTTCCAGAGGTCATGACTATTAACCTCATCACTCATGTACGGTGACTCACAACTGCCTGTAATTCTAGCTCCGGGGCATTTAACACTCCCTTCTGTTCTCTGTGGGCACCTGTACACACACGGCAGGCACACGGAAATATAAAAAATAAATAATAAAACAAGAATTTGATACAATTCTACATAATAAATTGCTTAATTTTGCATTAGAATGTACAATATATTTTATTTTATTATCCCACTACATAGTAATTATGCGAATTAGTTCATTTTGTAAATCAACAAAAAAAGGTTGTGGTAAACAAGAACATTATTATTTCCCGTAAATAAGGTGGTTTCAAAATGAAAAACCTAGCTCTTACCTTAAAAGGAACAAGAGTTTGAACAACCTATTGTTCCTACAGACAAACATGAATAACTGTAGACCAAGAACACAGACCTAGGTTAACCTAAATATGTTGATAATTTTTTGACATAGTAGTCAGCCTTCAAAACCTTCAAAGGATGTTTTAATCCTGTTTTTAAACTAAAGCCTTATAACTTTATCAGGCAGAAAGAGGTTAGGGATATGGACAGAGACAAGTCAGAAACAAATCACCTCAAAACAGGGCGAGGAGAAAGTGGCTGTGGCCACAACCTTTGAAAGTCCATTCAGCCAGGACTTGTGTAGTAATGAAGGGATGTGAAGGGAGGCAGTAAGTCATGCTGCTTTGAACTTTTAAAAATAAAAGCTCATGAAGTGTTTAATGAAATTTTCCACTGATATCTGCTATCACTTTTCTTGCATTATAAGGCTTCAGTTTAAAAACGATAAAATTCTTATTTCTGCCTGGGAATTAATGAATAAGAAAAAATAAAATATTATAAGTTAACTTAGTGACAGTGTTTTAGATGGCATTAAAAAGGTACAAAGATTATTGAACAGTAAAGAAATATGTATATTTTATTTTTCAGTTTATAGTTCATGCACATAAAATACCAAAGTTCAAGTTTACAAAGTTATTGTTTTTGAATGGAGTTAAAAATAATTCCTAAAGAGAAAACTTGAATGTATCTCACTGTACTAGTGAACGTAGCTACTTGAGACAATCCATGAAAACAAAATGTGAGTAGATCGTAGATGCTTATTGCTTATCTGATAACTGGCTGCTTTGTCAGAATCTGCATCGGATTAATCTATGAGTAATGATACTAAGGCAAGAATTATGTGCCTAACTTAGCTTTTCTCTTGAGAAAAATATTTTAGAACAGTGTTTTTCAGCCTTCCTAATGCTGCAACCCTCATGATGTGGTGACTCCAGCCATAAAATTATTTTCATTGCTACTTCATAACTATAAGTTAGCTACTGTTATGAACTGTCTGTTATGACTGACAATGTAAATATCTAGTATGCAGATAATCTTAGGTGACCCCAGTGAAAGACTCCTTCGACTTCCAAAGTATCACAACCTACAGTCTCAGAACCACCCTTCTAGAAATGTAAATATCTAAAGCCGGGCGGTGGTGGCGCACGCCTTTAATCCCAGCACTTGGGAGGCAGAGGCAGGCGGATGTCTGTGAGTTCGGATGTCTGTGAGTTCAAGACCAGCCTGGTCTACAAGAGCTAGTTCCAGGACAGGCTCCAAAACCACAGAGAAACCCTGTCTCAAAAAAGAAAAAAAAATGAAATGTAAATATCTAATAGACAGATGATCTTAGGTGACCCCGGTAAAAGGATCATTCAACTTCCAAAGGGTCACAACCTACAGGCTCAAAACCACCATTCTAGATAGTAAAATTAATTTTCAATAATTCAAAATATCCTAATTAGTATCTACAAACTATTTCTAAGCATTAGAACACATGTTTCATCACTAGGAAAAATAACTATTGAGCATGATATGAAGGAATTGTCTCAATAATCAGAGATGTGCCTCTTCTAGGGCTGTGTTTGCAATTGTCACTGACCTACTTCTTCCCTGGAGTTGAAGCAGAGAACTGTTATAACTAAAATTCACTTGTAAAATACAAGTACTTCAATCACTTCCCATCTCAGCTATGGCTGAGGGTGTGTCTACAATGGAAGTGAACCCTCCATCCCATGAACAGATAAAGGAGAAATCCAGAGCATGTCAACCAGCTTTAGTTTGGAGACAATGTGGATGCAATTTGACTTAGGTTGATATGACCTACAGGCAGAAAACCTTTTTATACAAGGAGTTACATACAACCTTGTTCAAGACAAATATGGAGTTGAGAAACAGATTGTACAAGGTGGCTTCTATCCATGAGGTTGCTCTATGTATCCCCCACCTCTCTGTCAACAGGGCAAATGACCTTCAGTCTAGAAACTCTCCCTTTGGTATTAAGGTTTAGAAGATTTCAGCTCCAGTGATAATTTCATTTTGTGAAACGAGAGTACTGATGTTGGACCGAAATACACTTGGGGTGATCAGCATTGTGATGGATGGTTCTGGGAAATTCAAAAGGGTCAGTTGAGAGGACCCTCTACAGAGGGGGACAATCAATTACTGTACCTAAACTGTACCTAAACATAATGATGTATGTTTTTCATTCCTTTTTTTAGTCTTTTTTTTTCTTAAGATTTATTTACTTTGTATACAGTGTTCTGCCCACATGTGTGCCTGTACCAGAAGAGAGCACCAGATCTCATTACAGATGGTTGTGAGCCACCATGTATTTGCTGGGAATTGAACTTAGAACCTTTGGAAGAGCAATCCATATTCTTAACCTCTGAGCCACCTCTCCAGCCTTTGGACACTTAGAAATTTGATAAAGTACAGAAAACCATTTTCAAAACCTAAGTTATTTCATCTGGGACATGATCTGCGTTATCCAAATAGGCCTATGGCAGAAAGATTAGTAATAAGTCATGTACCAGCATGAGAAGCCATTATAGCCATTGACCACAGTGTTCTGGATCAGATATTCAGGATCTAGAAGGCAGGGCAAGTTTAGAAAAATGCAGCCCATGTGCAACCATGCAAATTGTGTCTATAGCAAGGGTGGTAAAATCCTACATACTATGACATGGAGGATCACGTGGGAAAGTGCAGTCTCCTGTGAAGTGTTATCAGGAACATGAATGCAAGTTTCATGCCCTAAAACAAGTCCATGTTGTTTTTCAAAAATGCTATTCCTCCAATTCAGTAGACACTTAGGAATTTGTAGCAACAAGATTTGAAAAACAACATAACAAAGACCCTTAGCTCTAGATAATATGAAATATTACTTACTGAGGCATTAGTAGGACATATTTAATCAGTGTTTTAAAAGCACATTTATTTCCCTTCACAAATCCATTTGACTTCCCGGCCAAGTTACTATTTTAAGAAATCATATATTCAAGTTTCAGCTTAATTACTTTGGATCTCTGTGCAGAACTTAAGTGTTGTTCCAGACATTTCCTTCTCATAGACGGCATCAAATATCTCATTTTGGGCCACTGTGAAGTAATTTTTCCAGTCACCAATAGTACCTAAAGTAACAAGAATGCATGAAAGAATAAAATATAAATTACAAAAGGAAAGCTAATATTCATCAAGGGAAAGACTGAATACTTGAGAAATGAATTTGAAATACACTGCATTTGGCTTCAAAAATAATTTCTATTATAAAAAATGATGAAAAATGTTATCAGTTTTATTCTAATTTGTAACAATGGTAAATGGTGAATATGCATATATATTTGTCTTGAAATTAATTTTGTCTGGTGGATCTTTAAAGTTAATTTTATATTAAATAAATACTGATTATTTCAAAATGCTATTTAAAATTTAATTATTATCATGGGTAAAACAAGCTTATAAATAAGCATGGAGTTCATATTTCAAGAGTTATTTTGAGACAGATAATTTTCTTATCTAAATTCTCAGGGAATACACTGCTTCATAAGGAAGATCTTGTACTTTTCCTAAATGTCCTGCACAATCTTCAGCAGTAAGACAACACTTTATTTTCTCAGTCATAACGTCTGCACAAAGAACTGTCCATTATCCAAAAGAGCTCTCAAATGGGAAACAGAAGAGTTTCTCTTCCTAGAATTTACAAAGGAGAATCCTGTGATCATTGAAAGACATTTCCCCTAATTCACAAAATTTATACTTTATTTATATTTTAGGTGAGAATAACATTAAAGCCAAACCTATAAAGCTCCAGAGCTGTCTTGAAACAAACATATGACTTTGTTTGAACGAACAATTACCTCTTGTAGGTATTCATGAGGAGCCTGTACTATATGTGAATTACTGGATAAACATGCAAATCTGTCTATTGAATGAGTGAATGAATGAACAAATGAATCACAATCACTACCAATATTTATATAATGTGTGTATACATATATATATGTATGTGTCTAATTTATGGTTAGCAACTTTTCTAAATTTTTATATATCATTTTATGTAGTGTTTTCCCAAATTTTATATAATAGGTGTTATTGCTTTATGTAATTTGTCAATGATGTGGCTAGCTAGTTGATGTATTTGATGTCACAAATTTAAACAGAACTCGGTCTAACCACAGGGCATGTTTTTTCTTCCTCTACAGCAGATGTAAAGACTTCACAATCTTGTTAACATGTAGTAGTCTTTCATGATGATGCTTCACAAAACATCAAATCCAGACACAAAGCTCATTTTCTTTACTCATCAATCTTTAAGCTGTCATGAAAGATCTCATCCATTTTCATATGGCATGAGCTAAACTGTTTGGGGAATTACCTTCTGTGACATAGTTGAATTTGACTGCTTCAATAAAAGGAATTGCTTTTCAAGTTCTATCCGGTAAACTTTGTATAAATATAATTGTGTATGCATATACATTAGTCATTCTTCTCCAAATAATAATAATAATAACAACAACAATATATTTCTTTATTCTGTTATAGTAGAAATTGTCTTTGGAGCCAAATGTAGTGTTTTTCAGATCAATTTAACACTAAAACAACTTGTTATTTTGACAAGATTAGAACTTTTATTAAAATGTCATAATATAATAATTTTCAAAAAAATTTTAACTGTATTTCAATGTCCAAACACATTCCTGGAGTTATTCTTATATACCATCATTAAAGAAAGTCCCTTTCCTCTGTATTTATTTCAATAAACATTAATCAAAATAGTAGTTGGCATTAGTAAAAAGTTAAACAACTAAATTTTTAAATTAATTTATTATGTGTTAATTTATTATTATTGAAATGGACTATGTATAAGAAACCATAATACACATGATTTGCTTCATAGAAAACTAAGAATTTCAATAGTAAATTCTATATTCTTCTAAGTTAAATTTGGATTCTGCTTCTTTAATTCAGATAGTATCTGAAAAGAGGGAAAATTTCCCATAAGAAAAAGAAACTTCTTTTTGATGAATTGTCTACATAAAAATTGACAATTATTTTCTAAGTTATATGGGGCTTTAAGGAAGTTGCATCTTACTAGGTAAGTGACCAATGAGCAAAGAAGAGTGTCTATACCAATTTATAGAATGCAGTAGGATGATAAACATTCATGATATTGCATGATAATTGTGAAAGTCAATTGTATTTAGAATAGTAAATAGGAAGAAACCTTTAGTAACTGTGTACATTATTTTTCTTTGCAAGGATGATCCTAATAAAATGACTTTTGACTATATATGTTTTTGGTTTTTATTGATTTCCTATGAAGAACTGAAACTTAAAGAAGTTAAATAAAGCAGTAGAAATCATAGAACTGGTTCTTCACAAGAAAGTAAAGGTGGGAATTACATTCAGCAAAATTTTACCTTTTCTCATGAAAGGGGACTTGCTGTGATCCATCATTGATGAGGGCAGATGGGTATAATTGACCATGGGGTTGTCCTTCATCATTTCAAAGGAGGTGTGATGGATAATCTTGTCCAAGGTCTTCTCATCCAAAGTCTTGCCTAGAAAGTTGGCAACCTTTTTGATTTCTTCCTTTGGGTTCTTCAGGAGTGAGATGATAGATGCAAGGAAATAACAAACATGTAAACCACTCCTATAATTTACAAACTGATGCAGCTTTTATAATTACATTATTATTCTTGAGTTTGCATATGTGTATGCAGAAGTTTGAGGATGAAACATTACAAATTCAAGGTCTCCTTTGCACGTGGGTAAAAGTTTTCTCGCCTGGTCTGTTTATGGGACCTCTGGCAGTTGAACCAGGATCTGTTCCTACTGCATGACTGACTTTAAGCCCATTTCACTTGATGGGATGTTTTGGTCCGTCTTGATGTGGGAAAGGGGGTGTGGTTGGTCCTGCCAGCATTGAATGTGCCAGGCTTTATTGACTCCCCATGGGAGGCCTTACCCTTTCTGAGGAGTGGATAGGGATGGGTTGAGGAAGAAAGGGAGAAGGGGAAAATGCTGGTGATATGTAAAATGAATTTTAAAAAGCACGTGAGGTGTGAATATAAAGAAAATTTAAAAAAAACACAAATTCACAGTCTGCTGTGCTACACAGAAAGACACTAATTCAACAAACTAAAGAAAGAACGAGCCCACACTGCTTTTTCAGGGGACTCATTTGGTTTCCGGTCCCCACATAGAATAGCACAGCACAGCCCTTAGCTACAGCTTCCAGGGACCAGGCCCCCCTGGGCTCTGAGTGCATGTGCACTCACATACATGCAGACAGACAGACGGACAGACAGACAGACAGACACAATAATAAAAATTATCCAAAATCAATTACCTCATTTCAGTTTATTAACATAGCATGAGCTTAATATGTATAGCTTTCAATCAGGCAATTAAATTTTCATTGATATTTCAAAAAGATTTTGAAAAATTAGATTGAAACTAAAATTGAGAGATATGATTAGAATTTATTAAAATGTAACATCTAATGTGGTGATGAGATGTTGGTATCAACTCCCAGTAAAAGCAAACAGCTTAAATTCTTAATACAGGACTTTGAAATGTTTCAAAATACTTCCTGCTAAGAGTACATAGAGAACAGATTTCAGGAGTATTAAAAAGTGTTGGAATATTCCTCAAGTGCTCCTTGTCTTTATTGAATAAATCACATCAGTAGAAAGAGGACAGAAGCTCTTCCTAAAGATAGTAGAGGTTATCCCTCCAATTTGGGTGATTCAGATGTCTTCTATGCTGTAAACTAACTACAACCAGGAAATAGTGGAAAATTTCGGACTATTGGAGGCATGATATACAAATGCTCCGGAGTTTCACAAGAGCACATTCAGAGCATGTTGCCATTCACTGGACATACTGTGACTGATATTTTGGTTATTACTCTTGCTCTGTCTACAAGTCATCATATTATGAAAGGTTCCATCTATGTGTAACTCCTAAGCACTATATTCGGTACTGTGAGTATAGTTTCAAAATTGATAGTTTTTTTTTTAGTTTCCATCACAGATTTGAGAATTGAAAGGTGTTCTAAATTGTGTATATGGAGCTTTACAAACAAAGAAACATTTCTGTACATTTTTCAATGGTTTCGGAGGATCAGCAGGACTATCCTAGTTTTGTAGAATAGCCCAGAATAGCGGCAAAGTACATTGCAGTAATATTGAACAAACATAGAGACTGCGAATTGCAAGTTTATACTCGAAAATAAATTCACTGTGTGTTATGCCTACAGTCTGGACTTGAAAAAAAAACACCAAGAGACCAGATCCGATACAAAAGCAATAAGTCTTTGTAATTACAAGGTAACTCAGGTCCTCCATTCATTCACCACAGTGGGTAGAGTAGAAGAGACTCTGAGTCACAGCGGGGTGGGGCATTTATTGGGGGTAAACCAAGGGCAGGACATCTGGGATTCTGCTAGTTGCATAGTAACAGTCTCAAGAATGGTGTACCTCCGGACTGGAGGAAGCTGTCCTGAGCTGATTGGTCAACTGCAACTGTGGAAAGGTTGCAATACTTGGAGGCCGTGGGAAAGTGGGACTGTTGCTATGATTACTGCATTCCACTTCATCAGTGAAGCAGATCCAGAACCTACCAGTTAACTTCTGATGTGTTAAAGATACCTTTCAGCAGTTGCAATTGACCAGTCTGTGCAGGAAGGGTTTCCCAAGCCTGGAGGTGCATCAATTCTGAGACTGTTATTGTGAAACTTGCAAACCCCCAAATGCGGCCCCTCGCTCCACCCCTAGTAAATGAGTGGCCCCACTATGTCAAATGGTATCACGTACGCCACCCTCTGTGTTGGATGGGCAGAGGAACTGAATTAACTCGTAATTAAAAAGGCTCTTTGCTTTTACACTGGATCTGATTTCTTGGTGGTTTTTGCACGTCCAGACTATGGGCACCACATTGAAAAAGTAAAGAAAGAGAAACATTTGAAAGATAAAACAAACGAAGCATGGACACAATCCAAAGTCCAGAGTGTGCAAAGGGTAGACTGTAATTATACTAAACATAAAACCTAACTGAAGGCTTGAAAAACTAAAAGGAAAAATAAAATTGATATAGTAAAAAGAAAATACAAGTTGTAAAGGATGAGAGGTTGGAGAACTAAACACATTAATATTTCTTTTGAACATGTTAAATTAATTCCAATGTTGGTCTGAAATTCCATTTAGAAAATGATGAATATATGAGAAATACAGATAAATATTCAGGAAATGCAGAACAAGGAAGTGAAGATCAAATTATAGAGATCAATTGAAAAGGAAAAAAATGGATGTATAAACAGATATAAAGTACAAAGTCTTGGGCGTGATGTCCTGGTAAGTCCAGGGGAGAATTTTAGGGAAAAGGATGGTTGAAATCACATGTTAACTAAATGTAGATCAATGATTTCACAAAGTGGTAACTGGTCTGATAGACATGCAGACGTATGGGTAGTAGGGGGAAAAGCCATTTTAACTTGGATTCTAATGTTAGCTAGAAAAATAGATATTAATGGTTTCTCCATGACACAGTATGCACATTATTCAGAATAAACATCTACTATGTTACCTGTTTTAAATCTTCATAGTACAAGAAAAGTAGCGGATGATCTTTCTTCTTTTCCCACCAAGTCTTAACGTGATTGAACCATGAACCATAAGGCACTAAAATAGGAAAAAAATGGTACCTCTACAAGTGTTTACCAGATAAAAAAATTTTAATAAGCCATTTGCAAAGACATTTTATAGAATTTGATAATCAAAGAAGCTGACAATATAGGATCAATTTTCAAAAAGTTAAAATTAGCCATATATATATATATATATATTCAACTTTTAAAACATAAATTGCAAAGGCAGCATTTCAAGTAAGAATAGATTGGCTACCACTGAGTTAAGTTGAACCATATTGAAGATTTACATAATATCAAGTATCAAGTGTGAATATAAATATCACAGATACAGCATGTATAACACATCTCTCTAATGATGAATAAATACTGAGAGTGGACTTTTAACACTGGGAAGAGATTACAAAATGTCTTCATATGGCACTGATTATTATCACACTTTCAAGTTAAATTTTATAGTAAACCCTTGAATGTAGTTACTTTCCTAAACTGGAATTTAATATGTTAGTATTAAACTTGAATGTTCTGACTTTTAACAAAATGAAGGAAGATAGGTTATTTAAAATAGAAATATTTGAAATAAAAACTAGTCGACATTTTAAAGCTAAGTTTTCAGCCTACTCACCATTTCCATCTAGGAATTTCAGCACATATTCTTCCCAGGTACAAGGAACAGGGTGTAGATTATTCATTAAGTCAAAATGATAGTACGAGACAGTAACATCCTTGGCATTTCGAGCCATATAAATCATCTACATGAGAGAGGAAAAAGGAAAGCAAGGAATGGGGTATTATTAATAAATAAATATATTTATAAATAAATAAAATTGCAGAGCAGTTCTTCTCCTGGAAGTTATGGATCATAATGCTAACCTATCAGGACTTCTAACTGTTCTCATGAACTTATTAAGGTTTTGGTTAGCTTACAAAGAAAATACTTTCGTATACAAAGATAATTGTACTTCATTTTTATATACCACACCCAAATTCTTTACATAAAGTCAAATCGGAAGAACTAGATAATTTTAATAGCAGAGTTACTAATTAAGAAATGATTAACTATTGAAGAACTTGAAATTTCCTGCTAAACAAACTCAGTCACAAATATTTCACTAAATAATGTCACAAACTTTCAGTTAAGAATATATATTCTTGCCTGAAATTTTGTTGAAGGCCACATTATCCTGACATAGAGAAAGAATAAAAGTAGCAATATTGTGTTGATGTGAGAATTACGTTACTTTTAATCTCAGAAATTTCATATTAATGAATTAAAACTAATTAAAAAACACTTAACCGTTCATAGTGGAAAACTCCTATTATTATAGTACTTGGGCAGCTGGGGAAGGAAGCTCAGGAATGTGATATCAATTTCAAGGCCAGCCTGGCACATATAGTGATATTCTGTCTCAAACAAACAAACACAACAAAACCAGAAGGTGACAAGGGAAGAGGAGTAAAAATAAGTAGCCAGAAGAGAGAAGAGGAGAGGAAAGAAGAGTGTGGAGGAGGGAAGGGGGAAGGCAGGAGAGAGAAGAGGAGAGTATCAAGCACTTCCTTGTGTAGTTAAGTTCTCTTGGTCACAATATGTACTGCTAGTTCTCACAACAGGAATAGATAAATGGGCAGAGTTTAACTGGAGGCTTGTACCTTGCACTTGTTCTCCCAGAGACTTTTCGGGAGTAGATCAGTTGGTAGATGTGTCTTTATAACCCGAGGCGATGGAGTTGTCTTTAAGAATTCAATACCTGAAAATTTCAGTTTAGGACAGCAAAAGATCAGAGTACGAAAGGAACTCATATTTCTTCATCTTTCCCACAGATATTTGTAAATGTTATTTTAGTGTGAGGGTGTGTACATGTGCATGAGAAGTGTGTGTGTGTGTGTGATAGATGTGTTCATGTGTCACAATACAAGAGTACTGTGAAAGTCAGAAGACAACTTTCAAGAGTCCATCCTTTTCCTGCAATGTGGGTTCCAGGTCTTCGTACCTGTACAGCCAGGGATTTTTCCTACCAAGCTATCTTGCTGTCTTCCAAACATTTTTCTACAGACATGTTGAAGCAATATTAAATGGAGGTAACTTCTAAAATAACTACAGGTTGTTTTTTGTTTTGTTTTGTTTTGTTTTTCAGAATTCCAGGAAGTAGTATTAGGAGACAGGCAACAGTGTGCACTTTGACATTTACATCACTGTATTAAAATTTCTACTATAATTTTACTCAGTAAGAGATTTCTAAATTTTTAAGAGTCAGTTTCATTTTCTTTGTTAGCAAAATAAGGACTAAAACACAACTTTGGCAACTTGGAGTTTTAGCACATCTCTAAATTATTTGCTAATACTACAGACTCTTGCCATTTTTCAGCATAGGAATACATTCTTCAAAACCTCTGCTTAATCAACTCCAAGCAATCACCGGTTTTAACTTTATAATTTATCGTACAACATCCAGTCCCAGTGCTCTATATAACACTTATCTGTATGTAATAGGGCATACATTTTGTAATGGTGACTGGGAACTTTAATCCAACACTCAAGAGACTGAGGCATAAAGATGTTAAGTTTAAGGCCAGCTTAGACTTCTTAGACGTCCACAATAAACTGGTTTTTATAGGGAACTATTCACAAACAGAAATGTGCTTATTTCCAGAGTGTTCCAATGCTTATTGCTTATGCTGGCTCTACAATATACATTTAATAGAATGGAAATTCCTTCAGAACAGGAATATGACATGCTATTTACCAATGATTATCTTGTTGATTGAAGTCCATGGCCCACAATAAATATTAAGTACAACTACTTTATAACAATAAAAATAAGATCGTGAAAATCAAATATCTGAAGATATTAATTAGAAACCTACAAAATTCCATCATGGATCTCATATCTCCAAACTGGCAGCTACAGTATGTAGTGGCATTTCATATGTATCTTAATAAGTCTTGCCTGAGGGTCTGAAAAAGCATGGGATAAAACCGGACTCGCTGAACATAGCGGACAATGAGGACTACTGAGAACTCAAAAACAATGGCAATGGGTTTTTGATCCTACTGCACGTACTGGCTTTGTGGGAGCCTAGACAGTTTGGATGCTTACCTAACTAGACCTGGATGGAGGTGGGTGGTCCTTGGACTTCCCACAGGGCAAGGAACCCTGATTGCTCTTTGGGCTGAGGAGGGAGGGAGACTTGATCGGGGGAAGGGGAGGGAAATGGGAGGCGGTGGCAGGGAAGAGACAGAAATCTTTAATAAATAAATAAATAATTTTTTTTAAAAAATAAAGTAAGACAGCCACACTGGCCAGCCTTACAGACGAGGCAGCAATGGCACACATCTTTAATTCCAGTAGCCACACTAGTTTGCCATAGAAACCAGGCAGTAGTGGTGCCTGCCCTTAATCTCAGAAATAGAGAAGATTATAAAACTGAGACCGAGAGCTTATGCGTAATCTTCTATAGGTTCACACTTCCCTCTGTTAATCTAAGGCTGTCTTCCTTCCCCATGGCAATTCTTTGTTCTTGCCTCAAGTCCCATAAAAGATTTCCTGTTTTCCTCTGTCTCATAGTCATTTTTCTGAGTGAAGTGGTTTAAATCCATGAATACAACTGCTAGGAATATTTCACGATTAGGCTCTAGAATAATTCTAATAATTTATCTCTTGGCTAAACGTCAACTCGTCTTTCTGTGGCAATTGACTCCATTTTTAACCCTGGCCCCACCAGTAATCCCAGACACCTACAGATTTTAGTTTAATTAATTTTTCATTTTATATTTTGCGACATTACAACCACTCTTCATTTCCAAGCTATTATTTTCCCTTCAACTTTAGACAATGAGCTAAGTTCAATAGACCCTTTCCGGTGGGTCTTCTTGCCATGATCAATCTCCACTGCATGGGAGGGTTTAAATTGCAGTATGGGAAGGGTTGACCTCAAGCTAGTGTTTTCCGTATTATCTAGGTTCCCAGCAGCTTCACTAAAAGCGAACTTTCACACTTGCCTGTTAGATTCAGGCTTTTCATTCCCTTTTAGCTTGATGAGTTTTTGTTAGCTCATCTATCAAAACCTTTTCCTGGTGGTAATTTGCGTGGATAACCTTCAATTTTTAGTACTGCATGGTCAACAATCTTGCCTTCAAGTGCCAGTAACACTAAAAGTTGCTGAATCAATATCTTTCAACTGACTATTTAAAATTCTTAATACCTGAAATCTAACATTTTATACAAAATTCTTAGTAATCTTCTGAAGTTTCCAAATAAATACCTGGCTTTATGTTTGGTTGACCTAAATAAAACTTCTGAACTTATCCTTCTTCATTTTCCTCAAATTTCTCAGGTAATCTGTCAGTCAATATGTTCAAAACATATTGCTAGCATCCTAAATTCAGTCCCACAGAGATACCAGGGTAGATTTTGTATTTTAAACAACAAAAATACAACTCAGTGACTCTTAATTCAATATCTTCCCTATCTTGTTTAAAATAAAAGAAACTTTTAGGATTCCATAGTTTATTTAACTCATCAGGATATGATTTCAAATTGCTTTGCACCTGCTGCCACCCCTTGCTTCTCTGCTGTTTTAGTTCCTACATTGCCCTAAAGACTTGACTGCATCAATCCCTTTACAAATAGATGCTTCACATCCCTAGATTATGTTTGCCCACGTTCCATGCATATCCTTGGCCCTTCACTAAGTGTAGCTAGCCTTGATCATACAATTGAAGGCAATCTTTCTTATGAATATGTCTCATACAGTCTTGTTCTTTGGCTTCGAAAGACTATTAGAACTAATATGTTACAAATTGATTTGCTTTTTAATGTTACATTTCTGTAATTCCTTGGTGAGAATATGCATATTTTACTAATCATTCATAGTTAACTCACAACACAGTAAGTAATCCTTTATAATTATACAAATATTCGTGCTCTGTTTCTTTTTTTTCCTTTCTTTCTTTCTTTTTTTCTTCTTTCTTTTCTTTCTTTCTTTCTTTCTTCTTTTTTCTGAGTTAGAATTACAAATAGGACTATGCTAGATGAGAATACTCTTGCAAAATTATAATCACCAGGAGATTTAAATTTTACCTGATATATTTTGTCCAGGTTCATACAGCTCCAGCATTGGAATTTTAGTAGTAATGACGTCTCGCTTACATTTTTCAATATCTCCATCATTTAGAACCATGTCAACAATTTCACTAATCCAAGTAGTACCTGTAACGAAAAAACAGAATTTTTAAAATCAGTGATCAGTTAGTTTCTTTGTTTCAATATTATTTGATTTTATTTATTGATTTATCAAGAAGCTCATACATATAAACATGAAACATTTTTGTGACTTTTTAAATAAATAGAAGTTTTTGAGATCACAATATTATAGTAGCATTTGCCCCCTCTCTTTCCTCTGTCTAAAGCCTATGTGTACCTCTGGCCCATACCACCTCTCACCCGCACACATTTGCTTCCCATATACAAACAAATACATACACGCATATGATTAATTCTGGATTTCCTTATCCAGCCTTTATATGGGGGAAGGAGGGTGGTCCTACCTCAACTTGATGTGCCATGCTTTTGTTAAGACCATGGGAGGTTTGCCCCTTTCTGAATGAGGCAAAGGAGGAGTAAATGGAGAGGGGGATAGGTGGGAGTCTCCCAGGAAGGAGATGGGAGCAGAGGAGGAAGGGGAAACTGTGGTCGGTGTGTAAAATAAATGAAAAAAAGTTAATAAAATAAGATCTGAAACAATCTTATAAACAAAAGTCAAGGTTAGACCTGCATTCTTTAGGACACAGAACTCACCTGATTTAGGGAATGTGGATATCACAATGTCATCTGGTCTGCCCTGGAACTCTTCCATCCTTTCCCAATTGAGTGCAAAAGCATAGACCATAGGATAGCCATTGATCATCTTCATATCTTTCCTCCGAACTTCTGGAGTACCCATTTTTGTAGCAGGTTGTACAGATGCAGAGCAGGCTGCCTAATAGCAGTAAACCCGTGGAGAATGAATAAAAGTCAGAATCTGTGTAACAAATGCTCGGCTTCAGACACTAAACTATAGCACAAAGTGAACTTTGACTTTATTGTACTGTACACAGAAACACAAAGGTTATCTTGTGGAACTGATACTACAGATCGGCAAGTGTGTCACTCGGCTCCCTGACGCCAGGACAAAGGTCGCCAGCAGAAACATTGAAGAGAAGGAGCCCTATGCTTCCGTGAATTAAGTCATATTTTTACAGAAATATGTTAAAAATTCTGCATGTATAGTTAGATATCAGCATTTTAGTTGCAGCTCATTTTTCTTTAAGGGTTACTCTAGTTTCATTGTGACTTTTAGTGTCATATATTTTGACATATATGACTTCATATGTTTTGTCCTCTTCTAAGAGTTGTTTCTTTGTCACCACTCTTAAGTAAATGATTCAGAATGCTCCCAAATGTGGTTATTTCTGTGTGTACATATGAGTATGCCCACAACTGCAAATATAGACTTAAGCTATACTGAACCTCTTGGAATTGTGGATATTTACTTCTTATTAACCAATTCTAAATTTTTAATTTAGTTTTTAATACTGTTTTTTATATTTATAATGTAAACTAACATATCCGACCTAAATTCTGGACCCTGTATAAGTACCTGTGCCATTGACCTCTTCTGAGATCTTGTTGGAAATGCAGGACCCTCAGGTCCCCATGTAGACTTAGAATCTACATTTTAATGAGACCCTGCAATTCCCCACCTTAAAATTTAAGGATGATTTTAAATCACTTTAATTATTCTCTGACAATGTAGATTATAAATACATAGATTATTAACGTGCATTCAAGGTCTTGCATTTATTATATTTAATATCCGTTATCACCCTTTCTTACCCAGTCTTAAGACATGCTTTCAATTCGTAGATGGAATAAGGAAACAGCTTTAACTTTTGGGATCTGAGGCTCACAGAGAAGGAGTAGCCACCAGGAATAGACTTTGGTCTGCTCACTGTCTCAAGTTGTGCATGTATTCCTCATACCTCCAGTGGTATATTTATTGTAATCGTTTTTATGCTTTTTTTTATTCTTGATTATGTATAAGTTTTGTATTCAACCAAACACAAAAAATTTACATACTTTATGGTTGAAACTCCTTTTAACTTCAAATAAAAATTAAAAAGGAGGAAATTGTGGAAACACAGAACTGGCTTAGAGTGCAGGCTCCTCCTGGGATAGATGAGACAAAGCTGAGAAACAGTAGTTGGGCAACCTAAGCATAGATAAAAGAAAACTTTCTCTGCCCATTTCTCAAACGATCTGTCAGAATCTGTACCCTGGGTAAAGAAGCGGCCTTTGAGCTCAGTTCTTCACGCTCTACCAGATATAAAGGAATGCTTTGCTTCTGTATACTTTTTGCCTTGTTTCTATGTACTTCTTTTTATTTTTATTACTGTTATTAATTGAGGTATTGTTTCTTGCAAGGGGAGGAAAGAGTTTCTCATAATCATGTACGTGAGTAAAGTGGGGTTTCAGTGTTGAGGTAATGCTTTTTAGTCTGTATAAAAAGCCATACAAAATAAAGCTTGTTATGCAGTTGTTCATACTCTGCATGCCCTGTGTTTTGATTTGTGCAAGACCCTTACCCAGGAACCCCAATGCACTAAACATTTACAAAAAGTATCAATAAAAGCAATATAAAAATAAATTTTACTTCACAATGTGATCTCCGTGCTCAGTCTTCACCTTCAGCTACAGACGTTGTTACTGAGAAGAACACTTGGAGTTGGTGGTGGTATGGGAAGGGCAGGATACCTCCTGCCCTCTCCAGAAGGGAAAAAAAAAAGTCAAGTCAGGACCTATACATAGCAGTCTGTGACACTGCAGGCAGTAAAAACCTTAAGGGTTTGAAGCCCATTCACACACCCATCCAAGGGCCTGCTGTTGTGATGGCATGTTTTAAGAATCTCAGAAAACATGTAACAGAGAATGGCAAATAGGCACTAAGCTGGAAGGTATAGCTGCTGTTTTGCTGAATTGTACTAGAGTCAGTTTCAACTAGATTCTGTCGACTTGTAATATTTTTCTAGTTTGCTTTTACAGAATGAAGGCATTTGGTCACTTTCTGATCTATGAGTCTGCATTTCACATTTATAATATTTAAGTCCTGTAAGTCTCTTTTTAGAATGTCAAAAGCTTCTGTACTTACCCTTATAGATTTACAAATACAGAAAGGAGACAGAGATTTACAGAGGTGAAACCAGTCTTTTCTCATATTTTTCCCTCTTGTGCTATAAGTGACCATGGTCTGAAAGTTAGAAACATATTTATGGTGGAACTATTGTGTGAGCTGAGGGGAAAATCCATAATGTGCAGTTAATAGTGTTCATAGTTTTCTTTTCCTATTTGGAAAAAAAACTGCATTAAGACTACATCACTAATATTTGAAGGAGATTCATGGTTTGTCTACAGGCCCAGGAACTATGTTCCTAGCAGAATTATTATTGTAGCCAGAATCTGGAGACAACCTAAATGCCCTTCAACCAAAGGATGGTTAAGGAAAATGTGGTGCAATTACACAATGGAGTACTACACAGCAGAAAAAATAATGACATCTTGAAATTTGCAGACAAATGGATGGAGCTAGAAAACATCATATTGAGTGATGTAACACAGACCCAGAAAGACAAATATAATATGTATTCACTCATAAGTGGCTTTTAGACATAAAGCAAAGAAAACCATCCTACAATTCACAATCCCAGAAAGCCTACACAACAATGAGGACCCTAAGAGGGACACACATGGATCTAATCTACATGGGAAGTAGAAGACAAGATTTCCTGAATAAATTGGTAGTATGGGGATTATGGGGAGAGGGGAAAGGGAAGATGGGAGGGGAGAGGAAAGGAGGGGAGCAGAGAAAAATAAAACCAATTAAAAATTAAAGAAAAAGAAATCAAATGGAAACTAATCATGGATAAAGAAAGTTTGGAAATTCAATCTACAGCATCTAATGCAAATTCCTTTATTATTAGTCCTTAACTGTGTTTAAATAACAAAGTCAAATAGGACCTGAAAAATTAGTCATGAATTTTATTTTAAGAAATTAAAACTCAGTAAGCTTGCTCTTGTTATTTAAAAATAGAAATATAATATAAACTTCACTTTCTTAGAAGTAAGTCTATAATTGAAATGATAATACTTCTGCCTTGTATCTTAAAGAAAGGCAGAGTTTAAATGGATTAATGTCAAAGAAAGATCTTTCATACAAAAAGGGCAGTCATTTTCAGTTTTAAATGAGTATCAGGAAATAAACACAGCGTTTTCTGTAATAAATTTTTCTTAGTTTTGTATTTTGATTTGTTTATTGACTACAGAATTTTATTTTTTGCCCATGTTGCAAAAATGCCTTTCTTATGTGACACATTTTTGATCTCCCATTTTTATTTTATTTTAGTGGTTTATACATAAATCTATGATAGTGAAAATCATAGTAAGCAAATCAGTAATTCATTTTGACATCTAGTTACCAACATGGAAGTCTAAAGTATCATTTAGAATCCCTCTAATATAGCACTCTAAAACATTAGAATTTGATGCAAAAAAAAAACCAGCATTTTAATAGGTATTGGAGAATGTCTTGGGTAGTTTTTCTGAGAAATGGTTGTCTAAGGATAAAAATAAGTGTAGGTAATTGAGAATAAGTAAACAACCTTTGTCCCATGGAAGAAAGAAGAGATTTACCTCCTTTGGCTTGAAAGACTAAGTCTCAATTCCACAGCCTGGGTATTTTGCTGTTCTCACTAGAACAGGTTACACATTTTGTGCATTCCCTTGAAACTCAATCACTTTAAGCAGCTTATATTAAATCTCCTTCCTCATATTAATAGATAAGACACAATGAGTAATGTTTGGGCCCTATTGTGACTCCCCCAGAATGACAATAGGTATTATTATCCCTTATTTGCTGTTCTACCAACAGCAACTGAAGGTTTAGACTACTGAGAAAAAATATTTGATCCAAACCTTTTTTCTGATATAAACACACAGAAGACAATGCCCAGGTACAAATTCAATCATCCCAAAAATCATGAACTGAAGTCTATAGTAATCATGTGACAAATTCTGTAATTGCAATCCTTTCAAAGCTAATGTGGGCTCAGACTTTACAACTACTACTAGTGACATCATTGAAATTTTATTTTGTTATTCTTTAAATTTTGAACAGAATATTTTGTTTTATCACATAGGATGGCTAAATATAAACACTCAGCTATGTTCTTCTCCCTGAGCTGAGGGGAGAGGCATCTATTAGAAATAGATGGGAATACATTAAAGACCTGATGTGGTCTATAATAACTTTCCAATTTCTTGTTCCTTCTAAGCCCTCTGTGTCTGATTGTGGAGGAGCCTGCAATGTATGAATGCAGTGTTTTTCACATTCTGGAAATTCTTTGTCTGAGGTAGAGAGAGGCTGTCTGGATTGTTGACCAAGAAGTTTATAGCTATGTTGAACCCATGCACACAAAAGATTAATTTTTTACGAAAGCACTATAAAACAAATGTCTCATCTCCTGTATTATGCCGTTCATATTAATGACCTTCAGGGACAGCCTTGTTTATTGCCTCCTTTCCTTTGTAAGTCGCTTCAAGGAAACTTTTAGAAATGAGAAGTATACTGCAGAACATGTTCCTTCAGCTGCCTGAATAGATGAACAAAGCTTCTTTTGCAAGTCATAGAGTATTAACAAAAATCTTGGGGTCAAGTTGGGATACCTCCTTACAAGTTATTGGTTAGGGAGACACCTGATGCTTCCCAAACACTTTGGCACTCCTGTTGGTTGCTCACCATGACTAAATGGTAAGACTCTAATCCTGAAGAGATCACATGCAGGACATAGTGAAATCAAGCCAGAGCTGGGATAGTTGTTTCATCCCTGGCTAGCTTTCCTACTGCCTACTGCTAAGAAAAATGTCAAATATTTGAGTCATTTGTGGACACTGGGTGCACTATAAAGACAGACCGGGAAAAAACTTACGCAGTGGTACAGAAG